GTGTGTGCAGGTTTAGCTGTACTTGTGAGGGTCCGGATGTGTCCTGTTCTGCAGGGTGAGGGCGCAGTGGTCCGCTGGTGTTTCTCTGCTTCTCACTGATTATGGACGTGTGCTGATCAGTGTCTGATGATGGGCAGCACCCAAACACCATCATCAACCTGAGAGAAACACTGTAGACATCTACATAACGTCCTCACTGAGATACTGAAACAAACCTGTGTGTGTGTGCGTGCGTGCGTGCGTGTTTGTGTCCGTGCATGTTTGTGTGTGTGTGTGTTTGTTTGTGTGCGTGTGTTTGTGTGTGTGTGTGTGTGTGTGTGTGTGTGTTTGTTTGTTTGTGTGTGTGTGTTTGTGTGTATGTGTGTGTGATCAGCTCATGTGCTGTATAGTGTGAGTGTTTCAATCATCATTCCTCCATACTACAGGAGTGTGTTTATGTCACTGTGGTGTGTGTGTGTGTGTGTGTGTGTGTGTGTGTGTGTGTGTGATCTGCTTGACTGTACTGTAATAAACGGTTGTGAATCTCCACATTTTCTCTTTCTGAATGTCTTTTCCAGTATTTAGGTTAACAGATTTTGCAGAACACACACACACACACACACACACACACACACACACACACACACACACACACGTTTTACACACACGTGCATCTCTGCCGTGTAGAGTGTGTTATGCTGTATATCCTGCAGGTGTGTACGCTCATCATGTGTGTATCCTCCGTATATGGTCTGATGACAGTAGTGTGAGTAGCGAGGCGTGTGTGGTGTGTGTGGTGTGTGTGTGTGTGTGTGTGGCCGTCTCACTCAGCACAGCAGTACACACACATATAATCTATACAGCACTGCTCCGCCTGATGCTGAGTGTCCTCTGATGTCCGCTGTAGACGCTGGTGATTGAGCTGATGGCGATGCGCTCTGGCTGCTTATTAGCTCCATCACAGGCTGAGGTGAATCTACAGGCAGTGATCAGAGAGAAGCCTTGCTCCGGCCATCCGCGCGCTGGAGCAGTGTGTGATGCTCTGGTGAACTCCTCAATGCACTGAAGCAGACGTATAGTGAGGCATGGCCATTTACTGGAGCTGCAGTGTACAGCAGCGCTCTCAACCTCGCTCCAACCATCTCCAACACCTCGAGTAGTGGATGAGCTGAGTTTGAGACGGCTGTGTTCAGGGCCGGAGAGAGCGACTGCTGTTCTGTTCAGCTCTGGAGTTTTGAGCTTCAGCGCGGCCCACTGCAGTTCACTGAACACCCTGATTTCCAGATCAGCAGTGTTGGTGTCGCTGCACAGTGAAGATTGATCAGCACAGATAACACCGTGTCATGTTGAACAGAGTCAGAGTCAGCGCAGATATGAAGGATGAATATAAAGAACAAGAACTGAACTTACTTTTGCCTTTATTTGAACAAACAGAACAGAAGAATGAGCACAGATTACCACCAACTGACTGCTCAACATCACCGCACATAATGAAGACAAAAGTAGAGAGTAATAATAATAATAACAGGAGAACACACACATTAAGCTAAAGGTTTATGTTGATGACGGTTTTGGAAAAATGTACCTGAAATCCTGCAACCTTCACATTCAAGGAAAGGAGTCCAGATCTGACAGAAGCATCAGCTTTCCCCTTCCTCCAGTGGGTAAAATATTCTGATGACATGAGAGCAAACTTCCCCTTGTGCCATTCTGACACTGCCGCTGGTTTATCAGAGATCCATTTGAGAAAACACAACTTCCTGTTTCTTACACTCTTCAATTTATTATCAGTACGACCAAACAACAATGAGGCGCATCTTGTGTTAAATATAAGATTAAGACTCGAGATGGGGAAACCTCAACTTTGAATTCCAGATTTAGACTAATCCAGCTTAATTTCTGACACCAGCTCTATTATACTCCATCCAGATTACACACATTTAAAATCAGTATTTCTCCTCTCCGCTTCAGATGTGCTGTAGAAGAAGGGACATCTTTGCATTCTGCATGGCTGTGGCCTAAAGTGAAGGTGTTGTGAGTACAAGTATGTACTATTATATCACAGATTCATGGATTGATTTTCCATTGGATCCAGAGATATGTTTACTGGGCAATTACACAAATTCTAACCTCCAGCATAATTAAACTTACCCAAATGTTGCTAACGATAGCTGAAAATGCATTGCTTTAAAATGGAAAACAGACATTGATGTACCAGTTAGACTGTGGATCTCAGAAGTTTGCAACTGTGTACGATTGGAGAAGATCACATATTCTCTGAGAGGAAAGGATGAAGTATTTAAAAAGCCCTGGAATCCATGTTTGAACTACATTAAAACACTACCACCAGATCTGATTTGACAAATGTTTTTGTTTCGACTGGTTTAAACTGTCTCTCCTCCCTTTTTATTTGTTTATTTTATTTAATTTTACTTATTTATTTTATTTACTGTGTATGTTTTAATTTAGTTTGTTTGCTGTTTTGTTTGGATGTTCTGTATTGTTAATTCTTGAAAAAGCTAAATAAAAATATATAATCAAAAAAAAAATATATATATATATAAGACTTACTCACCAACAAATCTGCAGCCAATAGCCTGTGATATCAGTTCCAAATACAGTGTAAACCACCTCCGTCAACTGTGCACTTGAGCGGAGCATCATTTGAATTATATGTCCATGTCGGGGTCAATAGTAGACGATGTACACGTTTGCAGTGTTGATCTTCAGTTCTATTACAGAGTGATGGAGCTGCTGCTGCTGCGCTGGTGGTCATGGGGGAGTGGAGAGTCTGATTCCAGCGACGCTCCAGGGACAGACGAGTCTTCGCTGAGGCCGGCTTCCAGCGTCCACCGCTAAGACTGAAGTTCTGCACAAGACTTTTGGCCAGCGGAGAAATTAAAATGGTCGTGCCCAACTGAGTCTGGTTCTCTCAAGGTTTTTCTCTTCACTCTCCGATTGGTGAAGTTTTTCTCCCTCTCCGCTGTCGCCACTGCCTCACATGGTTCAGGATCTGTAGAGCTACGCATCGATGAATTTGCTCTTCAGTGTTTGAACTCTCAGTAATGATTAAATCACACTGAACTGAGCTAAACTGAACTGAACTTAAACACTAAAAACTGAACTACTCTGTTCCATTTACTATGACCTTTTATGTGAAGCTGCTTTGACACAATCTACATTGCAAAATCTATGTCCACATTGTCTATACAAATAAAGCTGAATTGAACTGAATTGATGTACTGCCAGCACACTGCCAAATGAGTGTCCAAGTGTCTGCATGGAGTGAACACCCCTGATCCTTCTGCCAAACATCTAGGGTTGCCTCATTATTAACTTCTGCTCCTGGCAGCACCGCTTCATAACAAGACTTCATTAGTGATTTCAGAATAAGGCATATCTCTCCCCCCCCCCCCCCCCCTCAAAAATCCCCAAATTACTAGATCTGCTCATTTGGAGCTGTTTGGTTGTAAATAAACAGTTAAATGGTCAGTAATGTGCTTTATTATTATTATATACAAAAGAAAAAATAAACCGTGTCCACGAGCAGCAAATCCATCAGCAAACAGTTGAGCTTATTAAAGTAACAGCTGTTATAATGAAATAAACTTAAATTAGTTTCAAACCGGAAGAACCAATTTGCTGGAAATAACGCAAAAACTGCCAATTTTCACTGTGTAGTGAGATATCTGTGTCCCAATAGTGTTTATAGCCGTGTGGGACACATATATGACTGTCAACAGCTCCACACATGTGCTCTGGTGTTTCGTGACCCTTTAATGTTTATTTGCCTTCAGAGGAAGTCAGAGAATACAGGAGAAATACGGCAAACACCTTTACGGGATGATAGCGGGATACAAGTGTAAAATACGGGAGAATCCCGGGAAAAACCGGAGGGTTGACAGGTATGCCCCCGTGACAAACCAGCTATTGGATGCAGGAACTGCTTGAAGAGTGTAGTGGTGATGGAGTGTTTGATACCGCACGGCGAATGGGAGAATAAACCCTCCGCATATCTCCATAACTCAGATGCAGTCTGTAGAGAGCGTCAGGAAGCCGTGTGTGTGTAGACTATCCTGTCACAATCCTCCAGGACGGTAATAGTTTGTTTGCGGTGTTCACATGTTTACACTGGGATAGCAGCATTTACACAGATCTTCCAGAATACTGTAGTGATGATAATGTCACAAAAACTGCCATCTTTCATCTGAGAAATAACACTGAGTTACGAATATGCTCTCCATCTCTGATGCAGAACAGCCAGTCCATGCTT